CCCCCCCCACCACCATTTTCTTATCTGAGGTTGAATTTGAGTAGGATGTAGAACTCACAGGTAAGGAGGGTCCAGCAGGTTGTATTTTAATCTCAGTAGCCGAGAGCTATTGCACTAATCCCGTGAGGCATTCAGAAGTTTAAAAGAGTCACTCCAAGTGGCTAAATTAGGAAGGGGCCAGAGATGGTCCAAATGGTATCCAAACCTCCCAGATCTGAGGCCCCGGCATAGTGATGGGGCCCAGCTCTCTTCCAACGCAGCAGAAGGGTGCACACATACACAGAGTAAATGAAACACACCTGCTGGTGACAGAACCTCCAAGCCAGTCAGCAACCTGTGCTGGGGGTGTCATTCTGTCAGGCTTTGGCATGTGGCACATTCACGTTTTAAACCACCCTTACCCACAGCTTTGAGCCTGTGGTTGTAGTGAGGGCAGAAGGGAACTGACATCCATACCCATGTTACAGATGAGAAAACAGGCTCAGCGAGCAGAAACATGGTTGAGGCCCCAGATTTACTCTCAGAGCAGGGCCTTGCCTCCCTCCCCCCACCTCAAACTCCAGGAAGACCTCAGCTGGCTATCTTATTTCCTAATCAATGACAAAGGCAGGTCCAGGACCCAATCTGGCAGGTAAAACAGCTCCCTGTTAACTCTTGAGTTTCCCTGCCTGGCTGGCTTCACCTCCCTTTGAGACCAGCTGCTATCCTAAGGTTGGCAGTTCAAAACCACCAACTGCTCCTTGGGAGAAAGATGAGGCAGTTTGTTTCATTAAAGATTTATTGCCCAGATAGGACCCTGGGACTATCAAGGGAGAAGAGCAGGAGCAGAGTGAGGGACCCTATTCAGAGAAGATGGAGGCAGAGATGATGACTGGAGAGATGGAGCAGCTGGGGACTCTAGACTCATGGAGGGAGAGGGGCTGTGTGCTGGCATCTGGGGGCAGGCTTGCAGGGTGTGCCCTTTGGTTGTTTGAATGACTGTATATTCCTGAGTGTTTTGTTGTACATCAAAAAAACAAACAAACAAAAAACAACAACAACAAACAAAAAAGCAGAGGGGAATAAGGGAATAGGAACAGATACTGTCAAATGATGATGCATAGAGGGGATTGTAATCATTGCAATGAAACAAAATACAATAAGGTGAGTGTAAAACTGATGTTTTCCCACGTAAACTATTACTGAAGTCACAATAAAAACTTAAAAAACAGCTAAAAAGAGTTACAGCCCAGAAATCCTACGGCAGTAGGTTTGGGACCATTGCAATCCCCCCCCCCCCAACCCCGCCCCTTGTCTTTCAGAAGGGAGGGAGAAGGGTCCCATTTTACAAGCTGTAGAAGCATTCTTAGAGTGAGGTTGGGCCACAGAGCTGGGAGTTCTGGGCTCTGTGCCGAGCTAGTGTAGCCACCAGTGTTTGCGGAACCTCCTTTTACTCTGTGCCCCAAGTTGCACATTTGAACCATGGGGAGGGAAGAGTGGCTCTCGTGTGCCCGTGATGCTGTGAGGACCTTCCTCTTAACAGTGAAAATAGGTACTAAAACTCCAGAAATCGTGTGTGCTCAGTGTGGCTGGATTGTACACGTAGAAATAGCAAAAAATTTTAATATATAAACAAACATTTTCACAACAACAACAAAAACAAACAAACAAACAAAAGCTCCAAAAATCTTTTGGGATCGGTGGCAAAAAATGCTCATGCCTGGTTCTGAGCACAGATGAGTATGAGAGGCCGCCACATGCAGACAGACGGCACCCTGACCTTCCCGCTGGAGTGGGCGGCTGCTGCTACTCCGAACATTCTCTCTCCATTAGGAGCATTTGGGGGAACTTGGAAAAGGGTGGCTAGCCCCAGGCCTGGAGGGTAGGACCTTGCCCAGAGTTGGGGCAGCATATAAAACAGAGTCCTATGGATGAAATGGATGGGAGCTGATGATACTTTGCTGAGGGGAGAAGCAGGTGCCCAGTGGGGGCAGATAGGGCTAGGGCTAGCTAGCCAACGCCACATGGATGCTGACCCCAGCGGCACCCCTCCCCTACTGCCCAGACTCCAGCTCTGTCTCTTGATTGTCCTGCTTCTCTCAGGCCTGGAAGGGTGTCCCTCGGTGAAGCAGAACACAGCCGCTGTGGCCTTGCCACCACCATGGGCAGCGGTGATTGGCTGGCTCAGTCAGACGTGGGCAGGTAGGGGCGAGGATCTCCAGCGAAGGGCAGGGCAGGCACCTGGTTGTAATGGGCCATCAGGAAGATGCCAGCAGTGCCGCAGATGAAGAGGGACAGCATGACCAGGAAGCACACACGGTCCAGCACACGGCCCACCAGGAACCACTCCTCGCTTCCCTGCAGGTGGGAGACAGGGTGTGGGGTGCCTGATCCTGGAGCCCTCCACCAGTCTTGAGCTTCTGGCCTCATTCCCCACTTCCATGACCTGCATCCGGCCCCGCTTGGCTTTTCCATGATCTTGGGATTGGATGGCCCACGCTAGCTCTACTGGCCCATCCAACCTCCAGTTCATCCTGGCCCATCCCAGGTCTCAGTCCTTTGCCTGGAGGTACCCACCTCCCGCCTCCCTGGCTTACACTGTCAAAGTGATTCTGCTGGCGACGGGCTCGGGTAATGAGGTTGCAGGCTTGCACACAGGCCTGGATGGCCGGGGCAGCCTGCTTCAGGCTCCCACACAACTCCTGGCTCGACCCCGGCTCTGGGCCTTTCTCTGATGAGGCAAGAGGGTAAGGTTTAGGTGCCAAATGGAGGAGAAACAGGCAAAGTGATGTCTGCTCTCGATGATCCCTGGCCTTTCCTTGCCAATGCTGGACATTTGGCTGACACCCATCTGCTGTGTCCCTCGCTTTGGCCCATAGTCGGCCCTCCCCTCCAGAGTCCCTGGGGAGTGGAGTCTCCCCATCTCCTTGCACCTCACCCAGCTTCTCCAGCACAGCTTGCACCAGCCTGGTCCGTTGCCGGAAGAGCAGTTCACTGTGAGGTAGGCGCAGGGCCGCCTCCTCCCCTGTTGTGATGGACCACCCAGAGGAGCCATTTTGTAGGTGCGGCCGGGTGTCCTGCACTGCCGCCCGGGCCAGTGGACGCATATGCATCCGCAGCAGCTGGGGCAGGTGCTGAAGGAACACCTGGTGGGGGTGGGGGATTGGCTTAGCTCAGGTCCAGTGTCTGGGCTAGCCAGGTGGGGTGGACATGGAGGCAGCAGGCGAAGGCCAGTGGCTGTGTCTAACTGGCTTCTTCTGTGCTGGAAGCTGAGCTGAGTACCCAAACCTCTGCATCTCAATCGCACAATCACAAGGGCGCCTATGACAAACAGCTTCCTGGGCTCCACCTAGTGTTCGGCCTACCTAGTCTGGGTGGGTGTGAGGAGGGTCTGCCCCTCCATTGATTTCTAGCCATGAGACTTTGGGCAAGCTACATACCCTCTTCATGCCTCAGTTTCCTCCTCTGTAAGATGGGAATGATGGTAATATCATAGGGTTTTGACGAGGATGACATCAGTTCATATTTGTAAACTGCTTAGTACAGTACCGGGCCCACAGTAACCACTATTTTGGCAGCTGAGGATTGTGTACTGAGACAGGGACACAGTCGGAGCACATGGGTGAAAGGATGCTGGAGCAGTGGGCAGGGAGGGACCTTGCCTTTCGGACTCCGCAGGCCATGGAGTGTGTGTGGGGGGACCGCAAGGAGACATTGAGTACCACCACAGCATTGATGACGATGAGGATGGTCACCACCAGGAGGAAGGTCAGGTACCTGGTGCGAAGGGGGCAGGAGGCCAGGTTGACCCTTAGCCACCTTCATACCCGGACACCACCCACCCTTCAGGTCCTTGGCAGGAGGGAGGGTTGGGGCAAGCATGAGGGCCACCGTACTTGCTAATGAGTGGTACTGCCTGCGAGGTCTCAGGTACCTTCTTGGCCACCAGGAAGAGGAAGATGGTCTGGGCCAGGAGCACGTTGATGGCGACAGTACACTTCTGGCCACCCGCTGCCCGCAGTCAAGAGGCCACTCAGGGCAGGTCTCGATGCCACCCCCCCTCCACACACACACATACAAAGGGAGACCACTGCTCCGCCCTGCCCCTGCCCTCCCTCAGGCTCCAGGTACCCTTGGCTGGCAGGAAGTAGATGAGGATGGCCACAGAGGAGATGAGAACGCAGGGGGCAATGATGTTGATGACGTAGAAGAGGGGTTTGCGCTGAATGAGCAGGTAGAACCCCACCTTTTGGTGGCCCGCTTCCTCTGCTGGCACTGCCTCATTCAGCAACATCTTGGCGGGCCGGTGCCGAATGGCCCACTCCCCGTTCTCTGTAGGTAGCAGGGGGGCACATCAGGAGGGGGAGAGGGGCAATATGGGGGGCACAGACAATGGGGTGGGAGACTGACTCTTAGATCTCCCCCACAATATTGAAATAACTTTCACAGGGAAAATCCAAACCTGGTTGGACCTTTAAAAGAAACATATTTCATGGTTTCATTCTGTTGTATGTAGGGTCCCTATGAGTTAGAACCGACTTGATGGCACCTAAAAACTAATAACATGCCGTAGTTTGCTTTTGTTGTTGTTGAGTGCCATTGAGTCAGTTCTGATTCACAGCCACCCTGGATAAAGTTTCCAAGAAGCAGCTTATGGGTTTGAACTACCAACCTTTCAGTTAGTTGGTGGTGGTGGTTGTATGCCACCGAGTCGGTTCCGACTCATAATGACTCTCTATAGGGTTTCCAAGGCTGTAAACCTTTATACGATCAGAGAGCCCCATCTTTCTCTTGAGAAGATTTGAACCGTTGCCTTGTAGTTGGCAGCCCAGCTGGTAATCCACTGTGCTCCCAGGGCTCCTTAAGTCCAGGGCTTGTCCTATGGCACCACACCAGGACTCCTGGTTTGTTTTCAGTTGCTGTCAAATTGATTCTGAATAATGACAAAACATGTGTGCCCTGGAGCAGAACTGCTCTATGAGGTTTTCAAGGCTGTGACCTTGCCGAAGCAGATCGCCAGATCTTTCTTCCTATGCACCTCTGGATAAGTTTGAATCCCCAACCTTTCAGCTAGTGGTCCAGTGTTTACCCATTTGTACCACCCAGGGTTGAGTGTAGTTTTTTAATCTTGAATTATATAGGAGTCGGCTCAATCTTCTTTGCTTGACCCCTAAGGCTTGGTCTGGCCCTGGCTCTGCAGCCAGGTCTAAGAGGGTCCTAGAAGAGGCTGCTCCAGGGGTCCCAAGTGCAGAGTACCTGTGAAGGCCTCGGGATCAATGAAAATCCACTCGATGGTCTGACCGTCCTCCTGGCTCAACTGTAAATTGATCTCATTGGTGCTATAGGTCTGGGACCTGGGCATTGGTGGGAAAAGGAAAAAAAGATAAGTTGGTGGGTGTGGAGACCCCTACTCCCCGTGAGCTCCCAGGGATGGCCAAGGGAAGGGCAACTATGGGCAGTTTTGCCTCCAGAATTGCAGCCCTAGCCCTTTGAGTTTGCCACAGAACTTCCCGGCAGTGTCATGGAAGGGACTTGGGGTTCTTGGGGGAGGGGGGGAGTGTGAGTTGGGAGGAGCTGTTGCCTGGCATCCAAATGCCCAGGAGCACCCTGTGTTCAATCCCGCCCCCGCCCCGCCCTGTTGTTATCTCTCCCACTGCCACCAGGCAAGAGGTGCCGTCCAATGAGAACATAGAAAATAAATTCCTAACAAAAGAGATCCTCTTATTGAGGGGGTCCCCCTATAAGAAGGTCCCCTTTGTCAAAGACTGTTTAGTTGTTAGTTGCCTCTGTGTGTGCCCGAGGAAAGCTGTGCTCCCTGGGTTTTCAAGACTGTGACCTTTTGGAAGTAGATCTTCCAGGTCTGTCTTATAAGTCTCTCTGAGTGGGTTCAAACTGGCAACCTTTCAGTTAACCATTGAGCAAGTAAACATTTGTACCCCCCAAGGACTTCCCTCAACCCACCACCACCCCTGAAAATGGGCTCACTGGAAGATGAGGGAACAATTCTGCCAGTCGAAGGGGAAGTAGGTGACGGAGATGGGGCAGGAAGAGCGGAAAATGGCGGGCGGCAGCCAGTAGATACAACCATCCGGGGACACGAGAACATTGCAGTAGAGGGCCACCTCGAACACACCATCCACGCTGCGGGCACAGGCCAGGCCTGGGGCTGGAGCGCAGTCATCAACCCTCCACCAGTATGGAAGGGACCAGGGGATGCTACTCCGGCACCTGAACCACTAATCAAGTGCTCTCAAGTTGATCTGACTCATAGGGACCCTAAGCGGTGTCCTTACGGGCCAGACAGCCACATCTTTCTCCCAAGGAATGGTTGGTGGGGTTAACAACCCCAAAGCTGAGCCCACTGCACACAAACAGGACTCCTCAGGAACTTTGACCTCCCCCAAATCTCCCTGCCACCCCCACCCCAGAAAGGCTCCCTTAGGGCGTGCCTTCTAAGCACCTTAATAATGGTAAAACAAGCAACTAACAGCTGTTAATCTCCTGAAATGTACCAGATCCAAGGGACACATGCTCCAAACCCAAATCCAAATCCTTCCATGGGGGCCATTGCTGTTTCCAGGTGATGGGAACTGAGGGGACAGTCTAGAACCATCTCTGCTGGCCTGGGGTTAGAGGTCATACCTGGGCCCTGTCCATGGCCCCTGCACCATCTAGAACTTTCCTAGGACCCTTGTTCCTCTGGGCCCTGCTCCCTGTCTCCTGTCCCTCCTCACTTGTTCTCCAGCACGACATCTGGCCGCCACACCATGGTGGACGGCACCCGCAACACCCAGAGGTCCTCATAGTCTTTCGGGTCCCAGCGCAGACGGTAGTCACACCATTGCTGTGGAGAGTGGGGGTGGGCTTCCAGGTCTCTGTGGTCTACTGCCCCACACCCCCAGAATGGAACGGGAGTCCAACCCAGGTGGGATAGCAGAAGAAGAGACAGAGGGTGGGCAACCAGTGTTCATGAGGCTGTGGGGGCTCAGGGTGGGGCCCTTAGAGTAGAAAGTAGAACGGAAATCTGCCTCTTACCATTTCTATCCAGACATTGGTGGTGAGAGCCTCCTCGCGCTCATTCTGGGGGTGCAGAGCAGAGAGCTAAGCCCACCCTTGTCCCTCCTCATCCTGTGGGCCCCTCGTTACTGATGCTGACCTGCCCGTCCCCTCCTTAGGCCGGAGCTCACCAGGGAGATGAGGTTGGTGAGGGTAACCTTCAGGCTGACATTGACCACATCTGCCTCACGCTCAGCGGGCCGCAGGTGAGGGTCATAGTTGCTCATCAGCTCTTTGAGCAGACGCTCCTCCTGGTTCCGGCCCTGAACCCCTGCAATGGACAGTCGTGAGCAGGGCTAGGAGGCTTCCAGGCAGATAGGAGGGGTGGAGGCAGGCTCAGGAGCCCTCTGGACACCAAGCTCTGTCCCCTGAGCCTTGGACCCCTGCTGCATCCCCCTCCCAGGCCCCTGGCCCCCAGTGTCCACACCCAGGCCACCAGTCAGCAGTAGCAGGAGCAGCCGCAGTCCTTGACCCCCATGCATAGTTCCTGGGCTGTCTCCAGCAGCGTTCACGATCACACTTCTGGAGATCTGAGGCAGATCAATGCAGGCTCCAGGTCTCATGTAACACAGTCCCCACTGCTACCCGGCTGCCTGCCAGCCTGGCCCGGCCCCACCAGCTGTCTGACCACAGCATTGTCAGCTGTTAGGATGGACACAATGCTGGGCTCAGGTTACCTGGGCTGGGAGGGGAGAGGGGCTCCTAGGCCCCAACAGAGATGGGCCCCCTCCTCCCCACTCTCAGACTCCTTTGTCCCAGTCCTCCATCCATGTTCTAGCTGGGGGGTAGGGGAGACTCAGGATATAGCCAGGAACAGATGGGTGTGGGAGAGAGGGCAGAGACCAAGGTATGTCTCCTGCTCCCTCAGGGAGTTGGGGGTCTGGTTTGATAGATGTGTTTTGTCCATAAGAGTCTACAACAAGAGAAGCTCTGGTGGCACAGAGGGTTAAGCACTGGCTGCCAACCAAAAGGCCAGTGGTTCAAACCTGCTCCTTTGAAGACAGAGAGGGCAGTCTGCTTCCATAAAGATTTATAGCCTCAGAACTCCTACGGAGCAGTTCTACTCTGTGGCAAGGAGTCAGAATTGACAGGAAGGGGTCTGTACCAGGAAGAGCCCAAACCCCTGTAACCAGCTTACCATCTTCATGGGTTGCTCCATTGGGCCAAGGCCCCAGAGGGCCAGGAAGCAACCATCTTAGAGCTGGTATTGAAAGGCAAATACCACAAGTGGGCGCTTTAAAGAACAGGAACAGAGTTGAAGGCTAGATGTCCACATCAGGGCATCGGCTCTCAGGGACAGTCCCTCCTTGTCTGTAGCCCAGGTGATGATTAATGTTCCTTGGTTTGTAGAGGGTATTTTTAAGGGTCTCAGTCCCCTGTTTGGTGTTTTCCTTTTTTTATAAGACAAACGCAAAAAAGATTAGGTTTAGGACCCACCATACTCAAATATGACTTTGTTAACACAATTCCAAGCAAGGCTACATTCACAGGTATAGGACTTTAACATGTGACCTGGGGACACAATTCAATCCATAATGCACCTTAATATGAGCGAGAGCACCTGGTCAGGGTCCTGTTTTGAAGTAGAGGTTGAGAAAGATCTGGAACTCAGCCTCTTCTGAATAGGGCAGCCTGTGGCAGGCAGCTCCTCTAACAGGCATTGATAGAACACCCTTGTGTGTGGTGGGCGCTACGGGGATCCAGCTAAGCCTGAGTCCTCGGAGTCACAGTCCACAGGAACCAGTGGACAAAAGTCAAAGTGTGACCCCCAGAGAGGCAGATGGGGGAGCCTAGCAGGGAAAGGCAGGGCGAAGAAGCAAACTCATTCGCTTTGTGGTCAGCGCCTCTTGGAGCTAGGGGCCTTGATGCCAGCTGTGGACACAGGCTCAAGTGACCTGCCTTGGAAGCCACTACTCCAGATAAACAGGACAGCCTATTCCAGTTTGTGGGAAGAACAGATAACTCAGGTCTCGTATGTGCTCCACTCACCTGTCGAGTCATTAAGACTTCTGAAAGACATTACAGCATCTGCCAGTAAACTGAAAGCTGGCAAGATTCCCTACACTGGAAACCCACATGGAGCTGGCTCTGAGACCATCCCTCAACAGAGAGGCCACAGTCCCTGCTGTCCTCCTCAGAACTTCCTGGGGTGGGGTGGTAGGTGACACCTGCTTCGACAGTTCATCTGGGGGTACTCCGTGTCCCACACAGGTTTTCTTTGCCTTCCGCCCTCCAAGCTGCTCTCTCATTACCATCTACGTGTGTAGCTGACTTTGCCCTGGATTTACACAGCCAAAGCTTCCTCCTTGTCTCAGAGCCACCTCCAAAATTCCGTCTGCCCACTTGGCCCTCTGGTGGCACCCTTGGGCACAATTCCTTCCCCGGGTTTTGAAGAGCCATTTCTTTCCACCTCTTCACTCCCTCCAATCCCACACCTACCCTAAGACTCATCCATGGCCTCTGCTGAATGGTAGACCACGTACTCCAGCCCCTGTTCCTTCGCCCACCCCGCTTCCAGGGTATAGGAGGTCTGGCTGATTCTTTGCCATTTCTGCCTTTCCCACAAGTCTGTGCAAGAGAAAAAGACGATAATGGAGACTGATTTTCCCTTTGGTAAGAGTCCTGGTGTGGCGCTATGGTTGATGGTTCAAGCTCACCAGAGGCTTCTTGGAAACCCTATACAGGGTTGCTATGGGTCAGAATTGACCCGATGGCACTTAGCAACAATAATAAAAACAACAACAACATATTATGCAACATCTCATAAGGATGAAAATTTACGCTTCTGTTTTCTGTCTTCCCTCTGCTCTGGGATCAGAGGGCATAGTGGTTCCCAGGAAGAGAATATTAAAAATATTAACAACAAAAGAACAAACAAATGTGTGTTGGAAGAAGTATAGCCAGAATGCTCCTTGGATGCCAGGATGGCCAAACTTCATCTCTCATACTCGGGACATATTACAGGAGGGACTTGTCCCTGGAGAAGCACATCATGCTTGGTAAAGTGGAGGGTTGGAGTAAAAGAGGAAGACCCTCAATGAGATGGATTGGCACAGTGGCAACAGCAATGGGCTCAAGCATAGCAATGATCGTGAAGTTGGCGCAGGACTGGGCAGTGTATTGTTCTGTTGTGCATAGGGTTGCTGTGAGTCGGTACCAACTTGATGGCACCTAACAACAAAAAAGTGGCCTCCAAAATACTGCATAGGACCACTACTTTAAAAGACTAAGAAAAAGAACGCATACTAAAGGGGGGTGGGGGGAATTCTTTGTTGATTGCTGGCATGTTGGGGGTGGGTAAGGGGAGGGGGGGAAGGTGGAGCACAGGGCAGGGATTGGACACAGGAAAGTTTGGGTGCTGGGGAGTGGGGCAATATACAAGAAGGGAGAAGGGAATGGAAGAACAAAGCAGATGGGAGAACAATTAGGCAGGTTTGAATGGGCTAAGTGGGACAGAGGTAAAGAATGATGTATGCACAACCTTGGAACTACAGGGCTTTGGGATACAGAGATTGAGACATGGTTGGAATGGGGAAAAGGGGGGAATAATGTTAAGATGCTTGGCTGTCTTCTGAATCCTGGTTTTCCTTGCATTATAATATAAAATAGACACTGGAGTGGGAGAGAAAGGAATAGTCAGAAACATCATCATAGAAAGCTTGTAATCTGTCTTCTGCCTATAACAGATTGGAATACCTAAAATGGGGCTACAACGTGCCCAGTGAAGGAGGCTTCCTGAGGAGCCTCTGCAATACATAAGACTATAGGTAGAAGCCTGAACCACATCTAGATCTCCAGAGATGGGAAAGTTCCACTTGAAAGGACAAGCAGACCAACCTGGAGTGGCTAGAAGAACAGAAGATACTTCTTGAAAGAAAGACCTACAGGAAAAATACAAAACAATAGAGGCAGACAGACTGTTACTACAAGAACAAACAATTTGCTTGCCCAGGAAACATCAAGGCAAGTGGTTGGGTCCCCTCAGTGCAAACCCCCTCCCAAGAATAAGACTCAATGGGAATACACACTCTGATTGGTGACCACGCTCATCACAGATAAGGGGAAGTGAGGGAAAAACAGCAATGAAGTGGCGAGCTGAGCCCTACAATGTGGAGAGTGAAGTGTCCAGCTGATAAAAAGAGAGGGCATACATACAAGAACACCCACACTTGCAGATAATACCCACTTGACCTGACTTCAATGACTGGATGATCAGAGCTCAACCAGAAGAAGAAAGAAGAGGAAAAAAAGAGTAATCTGATACAATTTGATGAACTTGACCTACACCTATGGATGCTGTAACTCAAAAGAGGGAACAAATCCTTCCCACCCTCTCCACACACAGAATAGACAGGGATGGGCAACTTAGATATTGGCTACCCAAAATGGTGGTGGAGGGGGGAGGCTACAAAGGCAAGAAGTGACTGGCTTACAAGCTTTCAAGAGGGAACCTAGAGCTAGGGGGCCTGGAGGAAGGCAGAATCTCCAGTGAGTAGTATCCAATCTGTCTAGGCGGAGGTGATGAAATGAAATGCAGATGGGTCTCTTGTGATACAATAGTGAGTAATTGTTATCAGGACTGATTGTGAGGGTTGGAAATGTAAAGGTAGATGTTTTATAGCAAGGAAGGGAGTGATTAACTTTCCAGTCTAGGATCGGAGGTCCCTAGGACCATCAACGGAGAAGAGCCGAGAGTGGGACCCTACCCAGAGAAGCAGCGATGCCTGAGATGGAGGCAGAGACAATGATGATGTGGAGCCATGGAGCAGCTGGGGACTTTAGATCCAGAGAGGGAGAGCGATTGTGTGCTGAAGACTGGGGAGGGGGGATGGGGGTAGTGTAGGGGGCAGGCTTGCAGGGTATACCCTTTGGTTGGTTGATGATGCATGGAGGGGATTGTAACCATGACAATGAAACGATATACGATAGAATGAATGTAAAACTAATATTCTCCCATGTAAACTATCATATAATTCACAATAAAACACTGGAAAAAAAAAAGTGGTTTCCAGTAGGTCTGTCATCTTTGGGAAGCTTCCTCCTCCCTGGAGGGGTGAAGGGTGCAGGACCCATTAAGATAGAACCCTAATTAGGCATCATTCATTTTCTAACACCTTCTCCTTTGTCACCTCCTACAATATGGGCTAGAAGAGCAAAAGCCTCCCTTATGGGTAGGGGCTACTGCTGTTGTTAAATGTCATTGAGTCGGTTCCAATTCCTAGCAACCCTGTATAGGTGGGTTTGAACCACTGACCTTATGGTTAACAGTCCAGTGCTTATCCTCTAGTGCCACACCAGGAGTCTGGGGGTTAGTATGTGACAGTGTTTTGACCAATGAGAGGTTGGCTGAGGGGCTACATGGGAAGGCTTTTGCTTCCTGATGACAGGGGTCAGAAATGGCCCCTTTTCTGTCTTGACCATGGATGTGAAGTGTGGAGCTGTGGCAGCCATCTTGCAGCCTGGAGGCAACAAGCTAAAGAAAGAGGATTGGGCAGATATCACAAAGCCTCTGTCTCTAATAGCTTTGTTGGACAGCTGAGGCAACATAGGCACTACTGTTTTATGATTTTTTACTATGTGAGAAAAAATAGCTGTTTGTTTAAGCCACTGGGGTTTCTGTTCCTTGCAGCTCAAGGCATTCCAAACTGATTCGCTGCCCTTTGAATAGGCTGTGTAGGGACACCCTTTGATTTCATGGCACCTGCCAGAGCAATTTCTTGGGCCGGTATGGAGATTGAGTTTTAAGTTCACCCAAGAGTGGACTGTCCTGCCTGAGCACCTTGCAGTGGAAACTGCTGTGACTTGGATCCTAAGCAAGCACAAGACAACTTCAGTTGGGTGTGACATTTTGGGGTTATCATCTCTGGAAGACTCACTGAGGTTAGAGTGTATAAGGCCTGCTGTCAACAGCTCCACCGTGTGGTGGAGAGAAGCAACAACAAAGGCTGAGAGACCTGGATTCTAAGTGCCTGGGTGTTGTTGTTAAGTGCCATCGAGTCGGTTCCGACCCATAGCGACCCTGTACAGGGTTTCCGAGGGTGTAAATCTTTACGGGAGTAGAAAGCCTCATCTTTCTCCCGCGGAGCGTCTGGTAGTTTCGAACCGCTGACCTTAAGGTTCGCAGCCCAATTCGTAACCACTACGCTACCAGAGCCTGGGTGTTGTTAAATGCCAGCGAGTTGGTTCCAACTCATAGCGACCCTGTATGGGGTTAACGAGGAGCGGCTGGTGAACTTGAACTGCCAACCTTGTGGTTCAAATTGACATTGCAGTCCAGCACATTTACCTGTAGTGCCACCCCAGGACTCCTGGGTGGTACAGTTAATTCACTCTACTGCTAATTAGATTTGAGCCCACCCAGAGATACCTCAGAAGAGATGGTTGGTGGTCTTCTGAAAAAGCAGCCCTAGATAACCCTGTGGCACGCAGCTGTCTTCTGACACACCTGGGGGGTTGCCATGAGTTGGGGCCAACTGTTCTCTTAAACTCATCTCTGGTAAGAAACTCAAGTAAGTGGACCAAGTGTCGCTATGAGTCTGGATTGACGTGATGGCAGTGGGTGGGTTTGGTGCAAGAGACAGGGACCCCTCACCCCCCGGAGTTTACAGGAGGTTCTGAGGAGGGCCTGGCCCCCTCTCCTCCAATAGGTGAGTTCACGCTGTTCCCTTCAGAGGAAAGAATGAGAAACTGATAGCCTGAAATTGTGGACAGAAGTAATCAGTCAGTTTTGGTTGTGGATGGATGTTATTCCTCTCCTGACATGTAAAGATGATAGATCTTACCTTCTGGGTACCCGAGTGGCTGAGGTACCACTCCCTCTGAGAGAAATGGCTGAGCTGTGAAGGCCTTGAGTCCATACACCAAGGAGATGAATAATGGGGCCTCTATTCCTGGAGTCCTGCGGTGGTGCTGCAGGCTAATGCACTGCACTGCAAGGTTGTTTGAACCGAAAGGTCAGCGGTTCAAGCTCACCAGCCACTCCTTGGACGCTATGTTGGAACTGACTTGATTGCACTTAACAACAACAACATGCTGGTATGGCAGGTAGGATCAGGAGCTGGTATGGTGGTTCACACCCAACAGCTGCTTTTTGGGACCCTATACAGGGTCGCTATGGGTCAGAATCTACTTGACAACACTTAACAACAACAACAACATACAGGGTTGCTATGAGTTGAAGCCCACTCAACAGAACTTAACACCTCCACCAACATGCCCTGGTGGTGCTGTGGGTTAGGCATTAGGCACCTAATGCAGTTGCCAGTTCAAACCCACTAGCCACTCATCACTCTGTGGGAGAAAGATGAGACTATCTGCTCCTGTAAAGATTTACAGTCTTGGAAACCTTCTACAGAGTCACTGTACCAAAAGGATGTGGGTCATACTCAACCATTTCAAGAGGTAGCATATGATCAAGAGCCAATGATACTGAAGGAGGAAGTCCAAGGTCCATTGAAGGAATTGGCAAAGAACAAGGCACCAGGAATTGATGGAATAAAAATTGAAATCTTTCAAAAAAGTGAGGCGGCACAGGAGGCACTCACTCATCTCTGCCAAGAAATCTGGAAGACAACTATGTGGTCGAATGATTGGAAGAGATCTATATTTGTGCCCATTCCAAAGAGAGGTGACCCAACGGAATACGGAAATCATCGGACAATATCTTTGATATTCCATGTGAGTAAAGTTTTACTAAAGGTAATACAGAAATGGCTGCAAGTATACATTGACAGAGAACTTCCAGAGGTTCAAGCCAGATTCAGAAGAGGATGTGGAACGAGGGAGATTATTGCTGATGTCCGATGGATCTTGGCTGAAAGCAGAGAATATCAGAAAGATGTTTACCTGTGCTTTAGTGACTACGCAAAGGCTTTTGTTTCTGTGGGTCATGACAAGCTATGGACAACATTGTGAAGTATGAGTATTCTGGAACACTTAATTGTGCTCATGAGGAATCTGTAAAGAGGCAGTTGTTCAAACAGAACATGGGAACACTATATGGTTTAAAATTAAGAAAGGTGTGCGACAGGGTTGTATTCATTTACCATACTTATTCAACTTGTATGCTGAGCAAATAATCCGAGAAGCTGAGTTATGCAGATGATACAACCTTGCTTGCTGAAAGTGAAGAATACTTAAAATATTTACTGCTGAAGATCAAAGCGCATAGCCTTTGGTATGGATTACATCTCAATGTAAAGAAAACAAAAATCCTCACCACTGGACTAATAAACAACATTCTTATCAACAGAGAAAAGATTGAAGTTGTCAAGGACTTCATTCTTCTTGGATCAACCATCAACACTCATGGAAGCAGCAGTCAAGAAATCAAACAACATATTGCATTAGGCAAATCTGCTGCCCAAGACCTTTTTTAAAATGTTGAAGAGCAAAGATGTCAGCTTGAAGACTAAGGTGCACCTGACCCAAGCCATGGTATTTTCAATAACCTCATATGCATGCGAAAGCTGGACAGTGAATAAGGAAGACCGTAGAAGAATTGATGCTTTTGAGTTATGGTGTTGGAGGAGAATATTGAAAGGGCCATGGGTTGCCAAAAGAACCAACAGATCTGTGTTGGAAGAAGTGCAGTCAGAGTGCTCCTTGGAGGCCAAGATGGCCAAACTTCGTCTCTCATACTTCAGAAATATTGTCAGGAGGGACCGACCAGTTGCTGGAGAAGGATATAATGTTTGGTAGGGTGGAGGGTCAGAGAAAAAGAGGGAGACCCCCAGCAAGATGGATTGGCCAAGTGGCAGCATCAATGGGCTCAAGAGTGACAATTGTGAGGTTGGCCCAGGACCGGGCAGTGTTTTGTTCTGCTGTGCATAAGGTCACTATGAGTCGGTACCGACTCAATGGCACCTAACAATAACAGCAATGGGCTGTTGGAGTCCTGGTGTGGCACTGTGCATTAATGCGTCAGACTTGTAAAGTCTGTTACATATGATACACATATGTAACACACACCTACAACGCTAAAGTTTCTGTAACCTAATCTCAGAAGTGACCTTCAGTCACTTCTGCCTGACTCTATGGGTCATGCAGACCCACCCTGCACACTGTGGGAAGGTACTCACAGGGCATGAGGATCAGGAGGGGGGCTCATTTGTACCATTTTGGAGGCAGACTACCACCCAGACCTATGTCTCTCAGTTCCTGCAATCTTGACCTTTGACCCTTGACCCTGGACCCTTGGGCTATGATTGCGTTAGGGCTTTCTTGGGAGGTAGAGTTGTCAGAATTCACAAATAAAACACAGGATAATCGGTTACATTTGAATTTTAGATAAACAAGCAATACATTTTTAGTAGGCGTACATTCCAAATATTACATGGTAATATAATATTGTTTGCAAAGAAGGTGTAGGTGCCCAAGGCAGGGCTCCTGGTGTGGAGGTGGGGAGGCACTGAGTTCTAGGGTTTTAGGATCGTGCATGTAACCTGAGGGTGACCAAACTGACCCCTGGCCTTTGTGGACACTGAGCCTGACTCTTCTACCCCAGACATGAGCTTCCCAGAGGGTCCCAGAGAGAGTGGTCAAGGCCTAAATGGCAGTAAAAGGTCATACTGCCACCCTGCAGAGAACCTCTCCCTAAGGGGCCGGGAGAGAAGGAGGCACTGCCAACCTGCGCCTGAGGGGCGTGTGTTGGGGAGGGCGATTGGAGGAGCCCCTTATCCTCTGGAGGAGGGCAGGCAGAGGGGCCTCATGAAGCCTGTTCTGAGTGGCTGCCTCCGTGGCCCCTGAAGCAACCTCCTACCTCCCCGCAGGTTCCTTCCAGCTAATGTCTACTCTCACCATCAGTGGAGGAACCGCTGGGGAGGAGTAAGGTTCCCTTGATCCCATGAGCACCCACGCTCCTTTCCTTTCAGTCTAAACCTTGTGGGGTCAGCTGGACTCAAGCCTCAGGGCCAGGAGCCTTCTCAAGGGAAGGGAACACTTCTCTCAGACACTCCCATCCACAGTGCTGCCCCCTCAGTCCCATCCCTTAGGTAAAGGCTTCACTGGTGCTGCCTGGCTCACCCTAGATAAAGCGCTTGTCCTTCTCTTGGTAGGAGAAGGGGTCACCGGGGAAAGGCTGTGGGGGAGGCTGGTTATAGACGCCTTGTAGGAGGATCCAGGCTGTGCCTACAACCATGATGGGTGTCACCACAAACAGGCAGAGGCGGTCCACAGTGCGGGACACCCGGTTCCAGCAGTCCTTCTCCTGAAGTGGGGGGGGGGGAGGGCGGAAACAGAGACAATGGGGTCTCAAATTCAGGTCTACACCGTGTGGCAAGGACACTGAGGCAGAGGCGTGGCCTTAGTTTCTCTGTAGGCTCAGGCTTTCAACACCAGATGAGGTGAGCTGGCATGCTTAACGTTGCTAGCAAGGGTCCAGGCCTTCCGGCCACAGTCATTGGTCTGTTGAGGACAGAGAATGGGGCTACACTCGACTGCAGGTCTCAAGGTGGCTGGGAAGGCATATGAGGGAGAAACTTAGGTTTGGGAGCAGCCCCCTTCTCTCTCTCCTCAGCCCTCTCAGCCCCTGGCCACTGCTGCTACACTATTCTTTCTCGAGAAAGAATTTGTAAAAGTCTGTATACTACTGTTGTTGTTGTTGTTGTTAGGTGATGTTGAGTCTGTTCCGACTCATAGAGAGCCTGTATAGGGTTTCCGAGGAGCAGTTGGTGGGTTTGAACTGCCGACCTTGATGCTCAAACTGATCTTGCGGTCCAGTGCATTATCCTGCTGTGCCACACCAGGACTCCATGATACTGAGCAGTCCTCTATGGCTTTGAAGAGCTGGGACCGGAGTGTCCGGCAGGGGTGGAGACAAGCAGCAGCTACTGAGAGAAGGGTCCTAAGGGACATGCAGAGTGTGGCTGGGACAGGGCGCAGATGTGTGCCTGAAAATTGTCCAGTGCGCTGTTCTTGGCATCTGCAGGAAGGGCTGGTTCTCCCTCCTTGGGAGCCTGGATTCTGTGCAGCTACTGTGAATTCTTTCATTGAAACTTGTATGTGGAGGCTAACTATAAGTTAGGTGGTTCAAACCCACCAGCCACTCCTTAGAAACCCTATACAGGGTCACTATGGGTCAGAACTGACTCGATGGTACTTACACCACCATACTAGTATATCTATTTCTTTAGAAGCTAGGATGGCAAAACTTGGTCTCTCATCCTTCTGACATTTTATCAGAGGGACCAGTCCCTAGAGAATGACATCACTCTTGGCAAAGTGGAGGATCAATGAAAAAGAAGACGACCCCCAATGAGAAGGACTAACACAGTGCAGCAGCAAAGGGCTCAACAATTGTGAGGATGGTGGTGGACCAGGCAGGGTTTCGTTCTGTTGTCCAGTGGGGTCTATTGAGTGGGAACTGATTTGACAGCACCTCATAACAAAAACAACATCCGTCCATCTATCTGACATCTATCTATCTATCTATCTATCTATCTATCTATCTATCTATCTATCTATCTATCTATCTATCTATCTATCTATCTATCTATCTATCTACCTACTCTATCTATCTATCTATCTATCTATCTATCTATCTATCTATCTATCTATCTATCTA